GCAGCAGCAGCAGCGGCCGCGGAGGCAAAACCGGCGTAGGAGCCCCGGAATAAGGGGAAAGTCCACCGGGACCCAAGCAGCAGCAGCAGCAGCAGCAGCAGCAGGTGGACCAGTGGTCCAGTGCGGGTGCAGCTGCAGCAAAGAGCAGGACGGAGCGAGGAAAGAGAAGCGCAAATGAAGAAAAGTTTGAAATAAAAGAAAAGTTGAAAAGTGAAAGCCGCAAAGGTGCGGCTTGCTGCGTCGAGAAGCGCCACGCACGAGATGTACGTACACCCCAAGCTGCGCGTACACCCCAGCTGAGGTGTACGTACACCTCCGACTCTGAGGTGTACGTACACCTCAGCGCTGCGCATTTGCCAAATTGGAAACAAAAGAGAAATGGCAATTAATTTATTTAATTGCTTTCTCGCGCCTTTGTCGCCGCCAGCCGAAAGACTTATTATTATTCCTTTTATTCAAATTCACTTCTTTCAAATTCTAATTTGTTTCTTATTTCAAAATTTAATTTATTTATTATTTCCAATTTTAATTTATTTATTATTTCGAATTTTAATGTATTTATTATTTCAAATTTTAATTCGTTTATTTATTTCAAATCTTTATTATCTATTCCAAATTTCAGTTTGTTCGTTTCTTTCAAATTTTAGTTCATTTATTTATTTCAAATTTTAGTTTATTTATTTACACCAAACTTTATTTATTTATTCCAGATTTTAATTTATTATTTCAAACTTTATTTATTTCAGATTTTAATTAAATTCGTTTATCCTTTCAAATTCTAACTACATTTATTTCCCCTCTTTCGAACTTTAAGTAAAGTCATTTCTTTAAAATTTTAATTAATTCATGTATTTCAAATTTTAGTCAAATTCATTTTTTTAGAATTCCAATTAGATTCATTTCTTCTTCCAGATTGTAATCATTTTTTTCTCCTTTTCCAGATTTTAACTTATTTCTCTTCTTTCGAGTTTTAATTAATTTTAGTTCTATTCTTCCGAACCTTAATTATATTTATTCCTCTTCTCTCAAATTCTATTCAAATTTATTTCTCTTCTTCTGAGTTCTAATTAAGTTTGTTTCTCTTCTTGAATTTTAATTTAATTCATTCCTCTTCTTTTGAATTTTAATTTATTTCTCCTCTTGAAACTCATGCAGAAAGCCGCAAAATCCAAAAAACCTCTCTCGCAATTTAATAAATAAAATGAATTGAAAATGAAAATAAACATTTCCTACTTTGTTTCCACAATTGCACTTTATCTGTTTTACATTTCGCAATTTTTTATTTCTTTTTATTTAAATGTTGCTGCTGGGTTGGGGTGTACAGACACCCCATTTGGTAAATAACAGTGCAAGCCGCTGCCCCACACTTTTGTTTATTTTCATTTGTTTCTCTTTTTGATCTTTTTGTTTCTTTTCTGCTTCTAATTGCTGCTGCTGCTGCTATTTCTGCTGCTGCTGCTGCTGCTGCATTCTGTTTTCCGTATAGCCTCTGTGTTTCTCTTGTGCTTCTAATTGCTGCAGCTGCTGCTGCTGCATTTGTTTTTCTTTATGGTCATTTTTGTTTCCCCTTTGCTTCTCATTGCTGCTGCTGCTGCTATTTCTGCTGCTGCTGCTGCTGCTGCATTCTGTTTTCCGTATAGCCTCTGTGTTTCTCTTGTGCTTCTAATTGCTGCAGCTGCTGCTGCTGCATTTGTTTTTCTTTATGGTCATTTTTGTTTCCCCTTTGCTTCTCATTGCTGCTGCTGCTGCTATTTCTGCTGCTGCTGCTGCTGCTGCATTCTGTTTTCCGTATAGCCTCTGTGTTTCTCTTGTGCTTCTAATTGCTGCAGCTGCTGCTGCTGCATTTGTTTTTCTTTATGGTCATTTTTGTTTCCCCTTTGCTTCTCATTGCTGCTGCTGCTGCTATTTCTGCTGCTGCTGCTGCTGCTGCATTCTGTTTTCCGTATAGCCTCTGTGTTTCTCTTGTGCTTCTAATTGCTGCAGCTGCTGCTGCTGCATTTGTTTTTCTTTATGGTCATTTTTGTTTCCCCTTTGCTTCTCATTGCTGCTGCTGCTGCTGCTGCTCCAGTTGCTGCTGCTGCTGCTGTCGCTTAAGGCTAAAGGGCCCTTACTTGGGCCTCTCAGTAGACACTAATAACTGTAATATAATATTTATAGTTTAGAAAGCTGCTGCAGCTTCTAGGGTTTAGGGTTTAGGGTTTAGCTGACTGCTATTGTTGCTGCAGCGACTACTGCAGCAACGCACGGAAGCAAAGGCAGCTGACAGGTAAATAAATAAATAAATAAATAAATAAATATGATTTGAGATGAAGTTCAAAAAATAAACTGCACAGAAAGCACTTGAGCCTCGGGCGGAGGCTTCGGGTGTATGTACAGCTAGAGGCCAGCAGGTCTATAATTCCAATTCTTATTTTTATTTTTTTATTTTATTTTTTTTATTTTTATTTTTGTTTTTTAATTTTTGTTTTCTTTCTCCCTTTCCAGAAGTCTCCACGCCCACAAATTTGCGCGTGGAATATGTATATATATATATATATATACATTATATATATATATTTATATATTTTATATATGCATTTATACTTTTATATATATTTAAAATATGTTTTTTAAATATACAAATACACACTTTGCGTATTTTGGTCTTCAAGAGGTCGCCTGTGAGGTGTACAGACAGGGGAACATAAATGTGTTTCAAATGCAGCAAATATTCAAATTGCACTTTTGCTTTTTTGCAATTGTTTGTCAACA